AGATCCCTTCATTAAGTCACTGGTGGCATCAGTCAGGTGCTGCTGCCCATTTCATTGTTAGCAGCAGCAATACATTTTGCTTTGCTGTGGGTGAGCGGTGAGATATTCTGACTGATGGCCTCAATTGGTTAATTTGGAATTTCATTTGCCTCCTCTAATCACGAAAAATCCTAGCTCTGGTTTAGGGAAGCAGTTCTATGAGATCTCTGGGTTTAGCATCCTGTAAATAACAAGGCCAGCTGATGACAGCAAGACAATGACTCCCATCTTCTTTCTGACCAATCCCACCCATCTCTTTCACAGCTCAGGATTTTTTTAATATTTCAGTCTCCGTTCCAGATTCTTGGTCACTACCTGCAGCCTTCAACCCTCCACAAACTTTAAAAACATCTTCTGAATGAAGTTATTTTCCTTATGCCTCCTTCTCCAGCCAGTTCCTCAAGGAAATTTGCAATTGTGCCCCACACTCAAGCTGTTTTCCCCTGCAGACTCAGCGTCTCATCTGCGTTCACTCATCAGCGCTCATTTATATCTCAACAAAGCAATCACAGCTATGGAGATGTTTGTTGTCTTTTTCCCCTCTACCTTCAAGCATTTGCAAGAAACCTTTCTAATTGGCTGCTGTGGCAAATACACGCATGCACACACGCAGATGTGCGCACACAAATACACGCACGCACGTTCGACGCAAACCCACAGCGGCAGAAGCAACTTCATGAACCATTTATTAAATCCTGCTTTTCTCTACAGCTCCACAGAACCAAATATGGACAACTGCATGCAAAGACGGTGGGACACCTGCTCTGCACTGACCTTTCTGAACACCTGATTAATGCAAGTTAAATCTCTAGGAGAAATAGATTTTCTATTCAGGGCCCCATGTGTTTCTACTATGCAAAGGGAGACTAAAGGAACAGCTAAGCTTTTTTTTTTTTTTTAAGCAATTTTCTAAATTTCAATGAATAACAATCACTTTACAAATTAAATTTTGTAGATGCATAAGAAAAAGATGAAAGTAGCTTTTTTTGCCTTTACTCATTTACTTAACAGTGAGATCGTTGTTAAATATATCTCATGCACTGTTAGGCTGCACAATTAAGCTTGAAATCCAGAGAACTTTCTCTGACAATCCTCAGTAATAATTCTGGGGAATGATAGCCGCTGTTTACTCCCTGTTTGTGGTACGGGTTTGTATATAAATATCCATATTATCACTTAGTGATAGATATTGATTAAACAAAAAATTATGCGGGCAAGAGCACTAAAGAAAGCTTTATGATGTTGCATGCTCCTTTTCATCTTTAAATATAACTTGAAAATGTGAGGAGTCATCTAATGCAATCAAACTCAGAACTAAAGAAATGTGTATGACTTCTCACAGCTCCATTTGATAGTTCACATTCATTTTTGCCACACAGATGAGACAAAGGACCCTAAACTACATTCACTGTCTGCACTATTAACTCACGGTGTTGCCCATCACTATACTTAACAGGGAGAAAAGGGTCATCCTTGTTTATCTCTGCACGGTGCTAAAGAGTAGCTTACCTTTACTTATTGATTTATGTCTTTCTGTTTATTAGTGTGAATGAAATTGGACTGCACTGTAAACAAAAACATCTATCTTTCTTCCTAATTGGGAGGCAGTGTGAAGCAGGGACAAGGTCAAGTATAAAATACTGCCTGAGAATCTTGCAGTCACTATGTCTCCAAAGTCTTCATCAAATCAAGTAAATTATTCTTTAATATATCTGTGAACAGAGTTTATAACCTCTGTGAAGTCAGTCCTAGTTCTACGTTTGATTATTTGGTCATAATAAATTTGTTTTCTGACCCATTGAGTCAAACTTCTTAATTTCAAAATTAATCTTCTCAAGCTTCAGACTCACTGGACCAAATTGAGTCCAACCATTCCCTTTAAACTTCATATTCTGAAACTTGGTGGTCTAGGGCTTTCTGCTCTTACGTGACTCTTTGGTACTTAACTTTGTATTAGTTGGCCTATAAAATTAAATCTAAGAAGGATGCATCCAAATCTTATATCTTTGGTTACTAATGTAGTCCTAAATGCTTGCTTTTCCAGCAATAGTTCCTCCTAATCGGTATTATTATACACAACAAGCTGTCATTACACAGTATTCATTATGTGTATTTGACTGGGCAAACTGGATAAAATAGGAGCAGGAATGCAGATTTGGGTTGTTTTTTTTTGGAGGTGGCAGTGGTAGTATTTTTAAGTTTCTTTCTAAATTGGATCTTGTCTAAATACTTTCTTCTTTGCTTTATGGGGTAAAAGCCTCAATTTTTTCTTAATTAATCTCTGATAATTTAGATAAACTTATTCTGTTGAGAGAGCCTTTATAATTTCAAAACATATATATTTCTATTCTTGCAAGGCACGGCTACTGGCTGACATAATTTTAAATGGTCATGGAGCAAAATTTGCATTTCTTATAAGAAAGGCAACTTAAGGTTGCACCAGTCTTTTTCCTTACAAACTTCCCATTCCAGGCATGAAGCTCCCTGACAACCCTGGCTGTGCATGGATGCAGAGGATACAGGGGCCCAGCTTCTGGAACACAGACACAAATCCAGCACGACAAAAGGCAGGAAAGACTGATGGGCATCTCTCTGACTTAACTCCTTGGGCTCAAAAGTTCCCAAGGCCAGGAAGCTACCAGCTTATTGCAGTGTCTTGCTACTCTTGCTGAACCTAGTGCAGGAAAGTGCTGGGAAGGAGTTAGAAGTTGGGAGCAGCCAGTGCCTAGCTGACCTGGGGCTTTATGGAGCACTTTCAGGGCACTTCAGTGTGGGCTCATGTCAAGCCTTCTCCCAGGTGGGAATCTGCAGCATGCAGCACTGTAGTGTGCATTTGCCCTGTGTATGGGAAAAAGATTTTTTTATTAGGATTCTGAACACAGCAGTTGTCATTCAGGGATGGATAATTCACAGCATTACTTAGTGCTGTTCTGAGGCATTAGTGATGACTAATTCTTTACTGCTTAAACAGTCCTATCATCTGAAGCAAGCACTTACTACAGCACTTCTTATCTAGGGGGAGGGAGGGAAGACTGCTTAATGTGATCCATTAGGAAACTCAAGCTTTAAATAAAGTGACCACAAAGTCCTATCAGCTCCCAGAAATGCAGCAGCTGTACATATTTAATGTAATACAACACTATATTGTGGCAGAGATCCACTGTTTAAAACATGCATAAGGCAGGTGAAACGTGACTGTTTTGCTCCTCTGTTTGAAAAACGAGAAAGTGTAGAGTGGCATAACTCCTTAAAATACATAAATAAGCATTAGAGTCATGGAGAAGACAGGTAGGCTGTTGGAATAACAGTAACAGAGCAAGGGTCAGCAGTTAAATCTGAAACTATTGCATCCTAGTTCTTTTGATCTTTTTCCTCAAGACTCCATTCTGTCACTAACAGGTGAAGTGCAAAACCAGAAGTGTGGGGGTCTGCCGGGTTCCACTGTGCTCGTCTTAATTTAAAAGCAGCACTTACCAAGTATTCTGTCCTGGGATCATCTAATCATAAACATACATGCAAGGGGCAGCTACAGATTTCCTCTGCTCAGTCAGATACTGTGAAATACCAGGTTCCACATGTCCAAAGAGAAAGAAAATTTAGCTCACTGGCTTAGCTTTGAAGCAGAGCCAATCAACATGATAATGTTTTCTCACCATGTTTTGCCAAGTCCTCCCACATGACATTTTGTTAGTTTGAAACCTCTTTAGTGAATAATAGGACATTTAACTGGGATATGCTGATATATAAAAATATTAGGAACATCTATTGTGTTTATATATATATGTGTCTGTGTGTGTGTGTGTGTGTGTGTGTGTGTGTGTGTGTATACACACACATACAAAATAATGAACACGGAGAGCTTTCTGGATGGAAATACTCAGTGTCTTCCAGAAGAAGTTAACAGAGGTGTCAGAAAGGGAACCAAGGAGAATGTGAAGCTCTAATTCATCCTTTTCTATAATACAAGGACAAGGAGGCCTCCAATAAAGCACAAGGGTAATAAATAGTAAGTCAGGTAAAAGGGAACTTTGTCATATACTGCCTCACTGATTGAATTCATGGTCATAAACTATTACTGAATTCTACTACTAATGGGTTACTAGAAGGTTGTAGTACACTTATGCATTATGTTAACATGCATTTACTTTCATTTAGTGGGGATCTAAATCTCTTATTTTAGAATCTAAGCTGAAGGTTAGAAAGAATACACCAAGTTCTTTCATCTGCCTCTCCAAGGTTTCCCATATTATCTGGTACTCATCAGTTCTGGACACACAGGACCACCTAACCAGGATCACTGACAATGCCTCCATTACTAGGAAGTATCCTATCCATGTAAATTTGTGACTGGAAGTCACAGGAGCATCAGCTGACAGAGATCTGCATCCTGACAGCCCAGAGTGTCTGGACTGTGCCTTGCACATTGTAAGGCATACTGAACTGCATGTGTGCACATGCACATACATCCATGTGTATGTTTATTTTCAAATGAGGAGCATCTAAGGAGTGCATATTTCTCTCCTCTACACTTCTTCTAGATTAAAAAAAAAATGTAAACAGCACTCTTTACAGAATACTTATGTGACTTTTACTTGCCTGTCTGCTCCAGTAGACACTATGAGCTTGATTCTCCAAGACTGCCACTAAAATTCCACTCTACTGATTTTTGCAACCTAATTCTTCAGGCTTTTTTTTTTTTTTTTCCCCAGGATAATGTGACCCAAATTTATAAAGGAGGTTAATTTGCTGTAACATTGTATCTTGAGTCTAGAATCCATATGCACTTATTTGTTATTATGACAGATGTAAAAGACCAGATTCAGAGACCTGAAGTCAGTTTGAACTTAACAGGCTTGGAATGTTCTGTAGCATGAGGGTAAATGGCATCATTTAGGAAACCAAAATGTAAAGAGTTTTATGAACGATAAACACTTCTAAAACAATAAAGTTACCCAAAAGGCTCACACTATTAAGCACTAAAAGAACACCAAAAGTTACGTTTTTAACAACTAAAAATTTGATGTGTTTCTGCTCGATTTTTCTTTAAATGACATGTTACAAATTCTGCTGCAGAAAAACAGCTGCTGAAGTAACCTGGAGGGCATCTTCAGGCACTGTGCTTCAGTGATTACAGCAATTTTTGTAGACATTCAATATTAGGATTGCTTTCTAATTTTAGACAGGGTTAAATTTAAAGTGAGTAGGAGGGGCTTTCACGTTACTCTAGATGTTCTAACACTGCTTACCCCAACCCAAAAACTGTATAGCGTCTGAATTTTGTAGCAGTGATAAGTTATTAAAAATTATAAACTTTGAAAGAATTAAACTAGATCTCACTAGCAGCAGCAAAAAGATGTCCAGTATTGTGATGGGACTGAGACTTAGGCCGTAAAAGCATTTACCCACTGGCCATGATCCCAATGCCATGGGACTTGGTGGCACTGTCATACACAACCATCCTCTACTCTATTTCTTTGACACTTCCTCTTAGTTGTGTATGTGTAGGAAGTATCCTGAGGCTCTAAGGCCAAATTTGGAGTCTTGTTAATACTTATTAGTATTTAAATTCCCTGACTCTCACAAAACCCAAGTATCAAGCTGAGAGAAACTGAAAGAAAGGTTAGTAAAGGGCTGACAGTCCAACAGACAATACAGATGGAAAGTGGTGGGACTAGGTGAAACAGAAAACAAAAGAAAAGAGTTTCTATTAGAAGCTAAATGAGACTCAGGCTGGGCCTGATTAAAGCCATGTCAATGTAGGTTATGTCTTTCCTTATTTCTCTTACCTTGTTTCTCTTGAAATATGCTCTTCGGCAAGCTGCAAAGCACTTCTCGCTGCAGAAGCATTTCACTTCACTTCCCATACTCAGGGAATAGCGCTTGATTCCAACTTTCTGGCACCAGGCACACATTATTTGTACATTTGACACATCATCTTCTACAACAAAAATATAAGAACAATGTTTACATGAGATGCAAACACCTTCCTCAGACATCTGCACACTTACTCTTAGATACAAGCAGCACCAGCTCATCTTATTTCTGACTGCCTCACTGTCAGAGAGCAGAACTGTGCCTGCCTGTGATCACCAGCTTCGTCCCCAGGCAGCCAGTGACCTGTGCCAGCCAGACTTAGCAGACTGGCAAAGTTTCTAAAATGGCTGGAAAAGATGATCAGCTTCAAAAATTGTGCACTGCTGAAAACGTCTGGAAATCTCAAGAACCTTTTAGCACACTTAAGAGCGCATAACTCTTTATTAAATGAGTAACCAATGCTGAAGGTTTACTGGGTATTGCTGCTTTGTTCTTATTACTTACAGTCTGCTGTAGTGAGTCCCTGAGATGCTCTGCTCAGCAAGCTGGTGATAAAACACAGCCAGAAGGTGCTTCACCAAGACAGGTCTCTAACACAAGCCCTCTTCTAAATAAGAAGGAACATAAAACACCCCTTTTCTGTATTATTTTGAAATGGCTAGCATACAAAACGGGGAGCTTTTGTGTGAATTCAGCAGTCACAGAAACATAGACTTGAGCAAGGCAGAAGTTGCAGCACTGTGGCAAAATCTGCCAGGTTACTTTTCAGTCATTATACTCATTGGTCAAATTTTAATTCAGGCAGAGTTCCCAAGCCTCTTTTGAGCTCTTCTCTAACATGTGTTACAAATGTGGCATGTGTGCCTTCTGCCATGTAAAAATACCCCAGAGCTTATTTACTAACTTGCAGCAATATCCTTATGTGGTCATCATTCCCACCTCAGCTTCACAGACAACAGCAGTGAATAGTTAATCCTACTAAACAGATTAAGTCATTAACTTAGCAGGAATCTTTCTGACTTAAAACGCAGAATTCTTCACTTCTTATGTCCAGTTTATGATACTGAATGACCTTTCAGTTACAGACAGCAGCCATTGTCTAACTTCTGGGAAAAAAATATCTCTGGAGACTAATTGTTAAAGCAGTTCCTGGTCCATGAGCTGTGGAGAATTCATAGCTTAGAGATTCTGTCATACAGCCATCCTATTTCCCTATAAAGGATTTGTTTTTGAAGCTACGCTGTCATCGTTCTGTAAAATTATTGGCAAACTAATTTTTAGCAGAGTGATTTGGCTCCTTTCCCTGACTATCATAACTCAGAACTACGTGCTGTATTTTACTCACCTTACTGGAATAAATATTGCCAGTTTAATAACTTTTTCCCTTCCACAAATTGTTATGATTTACAGCAACAAATAAAATTCTACAATGTAAAATAATGACCTTTTAGTTTTAATCAGACTGTCTACCTTTAAACCTATATTTAAGGCCAAGTTATAACACAGATTTGTGTTTAATGTATTGTATCAATTACCCTTTAGAGTTGGATTTGCCAGCATTATAAGTGCCTTCATATACTGAACAGGAAGGGAAATCAAAACAATTTGACCAAAATTATCACTAGCCATCTCTAAGGTCAAGAAGCCTGCCCTGAGCTGGCTGTAACATCAGCCAGGCACACAGGGTGCTGTTGTAGTGGCTGTGCATGGGATCATCGCCACTTTCTCTGCAGACTGGTCTTGTCCAAGATGCCAACTACTCCAGCACAGACCAAAAGCTCTTCCCCCCCATTCTTAGCCTGAGTCATTTGAAGTACTTATCTTTTACAAAGGCATCCTGATTCAGCTACTTTTGCACCATAATAAACCAATTCCTTACAGACTGAACCTGCCTCTTTGAATGTACCAGGACAACAGGAGATCCTCTGAATCAAAGGAACCAGACGGCAGACACTTGTTTCAGATAACAGTAACATATATTCCCCTACTGATAAGCAGCATTTTATCTCTGGAAAAGAGAAGATCTACCAGTGATACCTTTCTAATAGCCTTCATTTCTGGTGAGAGGAACTCTCATAAATGAAAAAAGAATATTATAGAGCTGAAAGAGAGTTCACTGACAAAGTAGGCGCTGAAGTAGCTCTTTTTGAAACAGGTTAGCTTGTCCGGGGCACAGTTTTTAAGGGGAAACACAGAGATGCACCACTGGGATTCTCAGGGGCTTTCATGAGTGATTTGATAGGGGAACACCTCAGCTATCATTCAGTTCTTGTTCACTGATTCACAAGAACTGTCTCCCATAGATGATGAGAAAGAAAGACCCACACAATTGCTCATTTCTAATTACGCAGGCTCCCAGCAGCAGCTGTTTACATGGAAAAGCCATGTTATTTACTTCTCTGCACTCTTCTGCAGGACAGTCAGGCTCAGCCCACCTCTTCTACCAAGGACCCCCTAAGATACATCCTGGCAAGGGGAGGAGAGGAGAGGGAGAGGGACCTTCTGTGTCAAGTTGCTGTCTTGCCATGCCCTGTCCAGCAGAACTTCACCACTACCTCACAGAGAATCCTTTGAAGCAGCATGGCTTCACTTGTGATCCACAGATCTGACGGTCAAAAAAAATAGCAGAGAATGGTCTGCAAACTACTACTTCCAGCCACTGTATGCACTTCCAGGAAGTGATATGTGATATCCAGGAGGCATCATAAATATTAGTCAAAATGGTCATCATGTTGAAAGAAGGAAGGGGGAAAGGGAAGGAAATAGTCTAGCTATATAAAAAGAACTCAACTATTTCTCTGTTCTACTCCTTTCTCACCCTAGTCATTAAATAATGTAATCTTTTTCATTTAATGGTAACAGTAATAATAGAACTAGATGCCTCTTCAATTTAATAGACTCAGGAACACTGCTACAAAAGGATTAACTGAGTATGGCCATGTGAAGCAGCCAGGAAATAGCAGTACTTCAGAAGGGGGTTCAGAGTACACACTTGTGGGACAGGACACTAATAAATCACTTTTCAAGTCATCTTTGCTCCCTCACATGTACATTTGCCCAAGTCAATTTTTGATGCAACTCTAACTTTTTGGAATGCAGCTTATCAAGTGAAATCGAAAACATCCAGTATCACATTTCTATGGACCATCAACCAGGTCCAGCCCAACAGGAGGAAAAACTTGATCTAAAATCAAATCCTTTCTTTCAGCTACATGTGATGCTAAGAACAGCAGAGAAAGGAAGCCATACTTGGTACCAGGGAGAGTACAGAGCTGTGCCCTGTGGGTGTGGATGACAGCTGGGGACAATGATCAAGGTCCAGACCTGACTGCACGCTTTCCTTCTTCATACCAGCTGTGGTAGAGATCTGAGCAGACCTTGTGAAAAGAACTAATAGGCATGTTTTGTTACAGTGTGTTAAGCTTAGTGATCAAAAATCAGGACTGCAACATTGGCTGAAAGTATTACTTCATGTATTTCTACCAGCAGTGAGAAGCAATAATGTAGCCTCAAAACATTAAGACTGTGTGAAATAAGAAAAAAGTCTTGGGATATGAGTGCTGTCATCTGCTAAACACAAGTTAATAATCTGAAACCAGAAATTCAAATCTTGCATTCCATTCAAGATAAAATTCCTCTCACTTTTTCACAGACCTTTGTTTTTCAAGGCCAAATTCTTTGAAAATCACTTTACCAGATTCCTGCCCTGCTTTCAGGAAAATGTATCAAATCCCTGTTCCTAGAGCGCTCAGCTAGAAGAACTTGCTGCTAAGATATCACAGCAAAACAGGAAATTTCAAATCCAGTAGTTTAAGACTGGCTATCTGTCTTCAATCTCTATTCTAAACTTTGTCTGATTAGAACTGCACTAAGAAAGCTTCTCCACTATAATTGTACCAGTTTATTACATCAGCAATGATCTCCTTTGCTCATAGTCAGACTTTTGCTGGTAGTCTATCTTAGCATATCTGCTTAAAGTAACATGAGCTCATCCTGACACCGTGCCTACATCCATCATGTGAGCTCTCACTGGAGCAGCTCTTCTGATGAAGATCATTCACTATCACTTTTAGGACTCACATAGCTATGCTGACACATGTTTGTAAAGTACAAAAATATCATTTGCAAGTCCTGGCACAGATTATTTTGAAGTGAAAGAAAATACTTCTTAATAACTGCTTTTTTTTCCCCTTCCATCTGGGCCTGGACCTTAATGACCTGCTTTTGCAAAGTGTTCAGCATGTTCTCAGATCTGTCATACTTATGACAGGTAGCATGGGCACTCTTACAGGTGAGAAACAGAAGAGATGGGACTGACACAACTGAATAGTAACAGGAGGACATTCAGCAGAACATATATGTTGTTGTCCTCTGTAATTAGACCAGGTAATAGAAAGATAAATTCTTTCTGCACACTGCATCTAAATTTCCAGCCTCTACTTTTCTGAGTTCTCAGCTCTTCACAAGGAGAGATATTGTGGGAGTTACAATATTGTGTTTTTCTGCCTCTGGGTTGTGTCATTACAGGTGGAAGAAGTACTCCCTGCACCCACCACACAGATACTGTTCAGTTACATCTCCTTGTGGTTTTTATCCTGTGTAGTTTTCATAATGAACAATGCAACAAACACTGAGTGTTTGCAGTGCTAAATCATGTTCCCAAAGGGAGTAGTTTGTATAACAAGATAAAATTATCACATTATAATAACTAAATATGCATCAGTCTAAAGCATGCTTCAATTAATCATCAAAAGTTTGCACTGCCTCTTTAGGTCTTAATTAAGCAGAATGTTTGGTATTTTTTTCCTTTCAAACCCATGTGAAGGAGCTGCAGAAAATTGTTCCTCTTAAACCCAATGAGCAGCAGTTTACACTAATCGATCTTATATGGAGCCATAATTTAAAGAGGTGGGGGGAAGTGAAGGAAGGCAATGAATACAATGGAGTAAATCCATCATGAACAGCCCTGTCTTTGTCTAAGCAAACCAGCATGATCTATGGAGTTTAGTGCAATGTTCCTAAAATCCCTACAATTATGGAGGGTTAAATCCTGATCAGTTTACTAAGTTTTAGGTTGCAGCACTCTACTAATACTGATGGGCCCAGTTGAGCTGTTAGGGCTGG